AAATAATCCGAGGACATCTTAAAATAAGCGCCAGACATTTTGAAATACTCGCCAGACGTCTTGAAATAACGGTCAGCAACTTGAAATGATTCCCGGACATTTTGAAATAATCCGAGGACAGCGTGATATGACATTGGGACAAGTTGACTTGCAAGAGGTATGGTATGCGAAATCCGGGCACCATTTTATCATGTCCGAATTGTTTGCTCCGGAAACCGGGAAAACCCCACAAACATTCGGAAAACGAAGTCTCTCTTTCTCATTCGGTTACAACTAGATTGAGGTTGATCAAAATGCATTCAACAAACACCTACATGTTGGTTCCATTCTCATGTCTCTTACTCTCTCCGAATTTCTCAATTCGTATCTCCTCCTCCTCCTCCCCCCCCCAATCGCAATCGGTTCTGCTCCTGATCAACTGGTACACCAACAGGTCCTCGTAGCTGCCAATTACTCCGGCTCTACTCTGCTCAAAGCTGCCACATGCAACGTCCTCCAATTCACAAAAGGATCCGTATGGGCCGACGCACAGCTCACGACACAAACACCGGCATCAGAGGTACCAACCGGTGATCAGATTGCCCAGTTACTCTTATCCGGATCTCAGAACTATCAAGACTCATTCGGTTCATATACTGGATATGCGTTTGAAGATGCCAGTCTCCAAGTACAATCGCGTAAGTCACAATAGATAAGATCTCATACGTGACATTTCGAGTATTTTCACCAAGCAATGACAACACGCTCTGACGCAGTCCACAAAATAACTGAACCCATTTTTTGTGCCGTGTTGTACCCTGTAACGACCACAATGCGTAGAGCAACGAGTAGCCCAAATTATCGAGAACCAAGTCGAACGAAGAATAATCTAAAATACAATTTCGGGAACAAACAAAAATGCTTATGACAGTCATACCTCTGATAGCCAGTCGGAATCACTATCTAGCCAAAATGCGCTAAATCATCGGAAAAAATATTTTATAGTAGGTAAAGGTAAATAGGAAAATTAGTCTATCGAATTACTTTTCACATAATTCTGGACTAATACGAAAATTCTGCATGCTTCAATAGATCAAGTATTACATTCAAAGCGAGCTCAGTATCCAACAAAGAGCGTTCAATCAAAACTGAGGTCGTCATAAAAGAAGAATCAGCACTCAGTCCCATTTACATATAAGCATGAAGCACTTAAAGCGCATGTCCAGTAAATATGCTTCGCCGTAAAAAAAGGTGAAACAGAAGGTTCAGAATAGAAAATTCACCGACAAGAAAACCACTGTCAGAAAGAGTGCACGATAGAATGGCGAACAAAGATAAGGAAAGTAAGGAAACTGTGAGGAATATTCAGTCTTATTTGATGTTACAACCCACCGATGCAAATATTCAAATAACAACACTTCTTGAAGTCCTGCAATAAAGACAGATAGCAGAGCATCCTTGCCTAAAATGCTGATTCAGAATATCCTGATATGAATACATTTCGTTAGCGTTATATTAGGCTATTCCAAAGGCACATGGACCATCCAGTTGCGACTGCCCACTGCTAGAGGAGGATGCGTCGGGTGAAGCTTGAAATTGTTTCATCGATCATCACAAACACAGACACACACGCACACGCAGCCCAATACGATATTGCGAACGAGCAATTGCATCACGCCAAAAACGATTGGTCTATTCACCAAAAGACCACATGTGTTCATACATTCGAATCGAAAATAAGAAAAGGTTGCACAAGCAGCGAAATGCCAATTGCATCCTGAACATTCAAGATTTGACCTCAATTTGCCATAATGGAACGAAGTTCAGTGAAACGCGTAACCAAATGAACCGACTAAAAAATAACTCAGTAAAGGAAGAAAAATAACGAAAACTTATGGCTAAACGGACATTTCTATTAGACAAACGAGTATTTCGGAGATCAAATACGCCGACGACTGAAGCCAACGCTCAAACCGAAGGGAGAAGGCAAAGAAATTGAGATTGTTTGAGAAAAAATTAAAGAAATGAAAATCGAGCCGAAAAAGTATGAGATAAAAGGATTCAGAAAAAGCATCTATAAACGACAGAGACACTGGATTAGAGAGAACTGTAAAAGACACATTTAACACTGAGAACCAGACAGCTCAACCAGAAGATCTCTCATTCTAAAAAGCTACACAACCCGAACTTAGATCGAACACAACAGTAGAAATTAGCAGACCAACTAGAACATCGACCACAACCGAATAAACGCAGAAAACAAATGCCCGAAACATCCTCCTTCGAAACAAATTAGGTTATCTTTATGAAACCATAGTCAGTGTGGATGAAAACAGCTGAATGAGTGTGGACAGCACCAAACAATACAAATGAAAACGCAGAGGCAGGTACACCAGACAAAAGGGCAGGGGGCCGAAAAATGGACAAATTTAAGGCCAAACTGAATAACTGACAACACGTTCCGGTAACTAAAACTGACTGACTGACTCACTCCAGCTGACTGACTGACTGACTGACTGACTGACTGACTGACTGACTGACTGACTTAGATGGTAGAAATGTTCATGAAGCTCGGTGCTAACAATAATAATGTCGTCCATATATGCGGCGACGAAGGGTAATCCAGCTAACATAGTGTCCATTATCTGCTGAACGATAGCAGATGCACAGTTAACACAAAAGGGTAATGAGCATTTATGGTCAATAAATGCTTTGATTCCTCGTCGACTTCAGCTTGTAAATAAGCTTCGGAAAAGTCGATCTTTGAAAATATGGTTCCACCGTTTAATTTGGCGAACAGATCCTCGGGTACAGGAACAGGGTACTGGTGTATCTCCAATGAATCATTTAAACCTGTTGAAAAGTCTGCACAGATGCGAAGCGCACCGTTGGGTTTCTTCACAACCACCATTGGTGAGTTGTGAATAGTTTATTGGACTTGTGACCCCAGCTGTTTGTAGCCGATCTAACTCATTACTGACCTGGTCCACCGCGGCATTTCGAACTGATCTCTTTGGCCTGAATACGGCTTTCGCTTTCTGTCTGAGATACAGCATCGCTTTGACCTTGGTGCATAATCCCAAACTGTTGGAGAAAACTGTGCTGTGTTCCGTCTGCAATCGGGTGATGAGGTGAGATAAATCCACATTTTGTCTTGCGGACCGATGTTTCAGTCCTTTAGATGAAAAAATGTAATTGGTGTCTTTGGTGCATGAATGACAAAATTCGTTCACAGGAATATCCCAAAGTCCCGATTTGACAATCCACTGAATGTCAACTAAATTGCGTGAACAGTGATTGGCAACGTACGCCGTGGAGGTAAATTTCATGCCACGAAAATTGCATACGCATTGACTATTCCAGCAATAACCTTTTGTTTATAGGCTGAGTTATTTGGAGAGCTGGACAGTCTTGGGCGTCCCATGAATGGTGTGTCAAAATAGCTGTCTCACGCAGAGTCAAACTAAAAAATGAGCGGGACACTATTAACATCAATAGACATAAGTTTCCGTCTAGAGGAAAATTCTGTGGTGGCAGAGATAACCATACCAGAGTTATACAATAATTCTGAATGAATCACTGAAGGTTTACGATTTAACCCATTTTGCCTGAATGATGGCTGTTTGTAGTGATAACAGTTTGTTTGTGTTCTTTTTAACCACACTTGATAGAGTCGGTCGGTATATGGACAGTATTTCACAAAATTCCAGTCACCACATTTCCAGCATGCTGTTGGCCGTCTAGACTTGGGGTTGATTGACGCATTACAAGCTTTCGGTTTGTTCGGGGAACCTTGTAGGCGATTCACGTTATTGTATTCCGGACCTTTCGCTATCCAATTTTATGCTTTTGATTCGTTGGCATTCTTCTGTTATGTTGTGCAGAGTGAGATCCGGGGAATTTTCAATTTGCGACAGTATACGATTGCGCAAATCTGCATCGGTGGATGACTGTAATCCACTGACGAATAGCCAACATTTGAACTGGTTCATTGAGAGGTTTTTTAGTTTGAACCGCTCAGCCTCCAGATTGATTCCACCTGCATATATCACATAATCTTCTGATAGTGTTTTGTTGACTTGGAGGCACGGATATCGTGTATGAAATACTGAAGCACCAGAACTGAATACCAGTGTAAGACATTTAACTGTTTCTGAAAACTGTATGTCCGTTGGTTTACGAGGTAAGATATACTTGATATATCGTTGGTGCTCAACGGGGCCAACTTTGCGTATGAGCGGCCATTCCTTTGTCAGTGTCTATCCACAAAGCACAATCCACGGTGAATATATCCCCGAATCTTGCGTACCGTGATCCAAAATTCAATTCAGCATCCGAGTCATATGTGAATTCTGATCGCATTGGCTAGATTGTCACCGGTTTGACCGGCATTACCTGATTGAAGCGATGATGATTGTTCAATCATTTAAGCCCCACGCTTCGATCAGCCTGTTGTCTATAAAAATCATTTACAAGAATATTTTCCTTTGGTTCCACATTATTCTGTTTTGATTTGAAAGCGTGAGATTGTTTCCCTCGCTAATTGTTACAGTCACGGATCGCCCAAGGCAGAAGGAAGAACAAAGTTCTGACCGTTAGATCCGTGTCTTATCGAATGAACCCGTCAAGCATTCAAAGGAATAACAAAAGCGCCTATAAAAACAAAAAAAGGTTAAAGATCAATGACATTGTCCGTTGCCCCGCCGCATATTGCAACTACCCAGAAAAGTATATTACCAAGCGCGCATTCCACACTCAGAAATAAATAACAAATCGCACATTATTCAAACGCGACAGCAGAGCTTTTCTTACTCTCACTGACACCGAACTGGATGGGAATGAAGGGAACTGGTCTCGTCTCGTCT